GGACCCCCGGGGGGGAGTCCAAGGGGGAAAGGGGGATTTTGGGGGCACCTGTGGGGCACAGTGGATGGAGGGGGGCGCTGGGTTTGTGGGGGAAACTGGGGGGCACCAGGTGTTGGGGGGCAGAGAAATGGGGGCTGGGGGTGCCACGGTGACCTCGGCTAAGGGGGCCCCCGGGAACAGCCCTCAATTTTGGGGTCCAGGAAGGGGGAGGAGGGGCTGGAGAGCCCCGGGGCAGGAAAAGGGGGGATCGGGGGGGCAGGAGGAATTGGGGGTGCGGGCGGTGGGCTCAGGGTGCAGGAAAGGAGACACAGGGCGGGGGTGGGGAGAGTTTTGGGGTCCTGCCCGGGGAGGGGCCGCCGGGATTTGGGGGACAACGGCAGTTTTGGGGAGGGCAGGGGATGGGAGAGGTTTGGGGGGGGTCTGGAGGGGAATTGGGGAGAACGGGGGGACACGGAGGCTCAGAGAGGGGGCAGAGGGGGTAGTCAGGATTTAGGGGGGCTTTGGGTAAGTGAGGGTCCCTGGGTCACCCCGTAACTGGGAAATGGGAGGAGGGGGCTGGGGAGCCCCGGGGCAGGGAAGGGGTGGGGGGACTGCCCGGGGTGGGGGTAGCAGGAGGAGTTGGGGGATGAGTTTTGGGGTGCAGGAGAAGAGAAACAGGGCAGAGGGGGCAGGACGTTATTGGGGTCCTGCTGGGACCCCCGGAGGGGAGGCAGTGGGATTTGGGGGGAGAGGCAGGGCAGGGGAATTTCAGGGGGTGCCGAGGTTTGAGGGGCAAAGGAAGGTGGGGGGGGTGGTCCAAGGAGATTTTGGGGTGCTGCAGAACAGCGGGGGGACTGCGGGGGTTTAGGGGGACTGAGCACCCCACAGAGGGGGGCATTGCCCCCACAGCCACCCTGAGCCCCTCCTTCGGTGGTTTTGGGGTGAGGGGACGTTCCCTGGGAGCTGCACAGGGATGGGGGCCACAGGGGTCCTCACTTTTGTGGGGAAGGAAGGGGGTGGGGCAGTGCTGCCCCGTGTCCCCCCAAACCTGTCCTCTGCCCTCCATCCATGGCCATGCTGGGGTGACTCCTGTCCTTCAACCCCTGAACCCCCGAAGGAACAGTGGGGGCACAGCACTGCCCCCACCCCACCCCATCCCACCCATCCCATCCCATCCCA